ATAAATGCTTGATGCAACCCTTGATGGTTTTCAAAACTAGCTCTGACCTGGAATCACACTTGATAGAAGGAAATTTTTGATTAAAAATATATGATAAACCTATAACATAAATTCTAACGAATCTTGGAGAAATTTTTCTAGACGTATATGAAATATAATCACATAAGGTCTCACAGTCTGGATTAAAAATATAGCCGAATTGAATACAGAACCTATAAAAACTGCGAAAACCTGATTTATACTTTTGAAGAGTTGAAAAAACTATTGTTGCATTCTGATCATGCTTTACTAACGTTTTAATCTCGGAAACTGATAAGATAGAAGAAGAGGGTTTTAAAGATCTCGACGCCATGATAAAGCAGGATTGTTGAAGTGCTGAAGGTTAATTTCGATTCCTCCAGAACCCAGAGCTGGATCAATATTGAGAAGAGAAATTGATAAAGGATAGAACTTTTGTTTGACTGAATCTACCAACGCATGAGACAACATGTCTGCGCATGAGTTGTTCAAACCGTAGATGTGAGACACTTTTACTTCCACTTGACAGTCTACTATTCTCTTCACAATGTACCTGAATAACGGACGAACGAGTTCGTTCGGCCGGTGAGAATTAAATAGATGAAACACATTTTTGTTGTCCGTGTGTATATAAATTCTTCTTGAACTGGAATTTATACCTAGATCGATAGCTGCCAATACTGCTAATAACTCGGCCCAATAAATATGCCGAGAAGGCAAAGGCAATCTGTGATAATAGGCCAATCTCTCTTTCGGATTCCAAACTCCAATACCAGTTGGACATGCATCAACATAGAAAATTGAGTCCGCTTGAAACACCGACCAAGTTGTAGATTTTAGTATCAGAACCCCGTTAGAAGCTTCAAAATACTTTATTAACCAACGTAAGTCCTGCTGGTTTTCTTTGTTCAGATGAATCGGAAGAAATCGACCACACTTCCCAGCCGTTTTTTTGTATAAGCTTTGGAGGGCAAACCGACCCATTGGCATTGAATTGAAACCCCATGAAATCCAACCTTGCATTGAATGCCAATCCCTTAAAGAATGACTCGGAGCCGAAACAAAATTCTTCATCAAATTAACCATTAGTAACTTTTTGTCCGCTTCGAGATAAATACTCATTTTCTCTGAGTCCACGATGTGTCCAATGATCTCTAGAATTGACCCGTGAACTTGTTTCTTCCAGACCCAAGGAACACCTAGAATGTCGAAAACCATGAGTAATTTCGCTTGAGGACCTGGAATTCTATGATCTTTAAACACAATCCAATCATCTGCAGCAGCTGCGGACCAAACGTCGTCCATCATATTATTTAAATATTTGATGTGAAATACGTTTTCTGCAATCCATAGCACTAGAGAAAAAACTCCACACCATATGTGAGGGGATGCCGATGAACCAAAAGTAAGATTGTGATCAACTCGGAATTTCTTTTTGATTCTAAGAATTTGCCTAATTTGATATTGACGATGAACAGGTAATGTTCTGAATGCTCCTTCCACATCCGATTTATATAAGGTAATATTTCCATGTTTCTTTTTCAATTCGATTAGAAAAGGAACCCAAGATTTCAAAGAGTCATAAGAAACCTCTATTTTATCCTTGTCAATCAGATCATTCGGAGAAGGCTTCCCCAAACTCATATTCGAGCATACTCGCATCTTGTCTGAATCTTTCTTTGAAGTCATCAACAAAGGGATAACTTTCATTCCGGGCAAGAGAGTCGAAAATTCTTCAGAGTAACGTCCTTTCAAGATTTCTTCTTCACACTGTTTTTCTAGTAAAGCTTGATTTTCAAAACATGTTTTATGATTCGGAGTGTCGACGATAATAGATGATGGTAAGGAAGAGGACGGCCAAAAACCTTCCCTCAATCCTTTCAACGCTGAATTCACAAACGGTCTGTTGGGGTGAAATTTTAGTAATTCTTCCATTTTGTCGATGTTGAATGAAGTTGCTATTTTAAATAGATAATGAAACTGCTTCAGAGCAAAGGCAGCGTCTTGATCTTCCTCTAAAGATGGAGCGTCAGGAAATGGCTCAGCCGTGATACTAGATTTGATCAAAGCTGAGAAACCGAGAGGATTGCTTCCCTCCCATTGATAACCTCGAAGATATTTCTCCAAAGTATACTCTTCAGGCATGATTGCATCCCCTGTGTTTTGCACCGCATCCCCTGACATTCTATGGACACTAGTATCAGTATAAGAAACCAATACTAGATAAAACATAACCAAAAACTTCACAAACATCTGAACTTTACCTACACATAAATGTAAGCGCTTGCAATCTGGGTTTTGGCAATCTGAGGTACTGTTATACGCAAAACAGTATTGCTCTTCCAATCTAACCCCCTTCGATTCCGTAATTGGAAAAGTCCCTTTTTGCTTAAAGTCCGGAGTATAATGAACCCCAGGCGTAAAAGTCTTAGTCGAAGGACCTTGAAGAGGAAGGCCTTTTCTTCGAAAAGGCTGCTGATAAGAAGGCTGTGAAACATAACCGGTAAGTACTAAAACAATGAACATATCCATAAAAAGCACTTACTCGAGAAGAAGAGGCAGAGATATTATTAGAAAAACTATTCTGCACGTAAGCACTTCCAAAGAACCGAGTTTTGAGGACATCAAAGTCCTTGTGATCCCAGTCTGCAAAACAAACGTAACACCTATCTGCCACTTGACTCCTAAAAGCTGCATCATAGTTCACAATATTCTTCCAATTCGCTCTGATACCTCCAGACCAGAACTGAGATTTAATATATTTTGAATAATCAGAAATATATTTTGAACAATCCGGGAAAGCCATCTTGATAGCTTTCTTGAGAATTCTAAAATAGTATTCCCATTCGGCCAGGTCGTCGATCTCTTGAGTATAATATTTTGAAACTTCCAAACCTTTCTCTTTTCCTGAAGCTGCCTAAGTTGTATCTCCTTTCTTTTTGTTAATCAGCTCTCCTTTAATTCGTCGTAAGTCAATAAAATGGCCTTGTAAAAGTTCTTTAGATAAGACTTCCGGAAAATGAGCAGGTTTGCCGTTTTGATTAAAACCTTTGACCGCTGCGGCAATACTGGACTCATAACCTTTAACATCCGCTGCAAACAAACAAGCTCCTGGAGTAAACTCCACATTATCCTCGGCCGTAACCACTTTCTTTGTGAGAAACACAAATTTCTTGTTGTCTTTCTCAGACTTTGTTGTTGAATCGGAAGATTTAGAAGATGAACTTTTGTCTTTATTATGACGTTCTCTCTTCTTTCCTTTTGATTGTCGATTGTCGAGCAACATATTGATTCGATTTTGAGCATCGACATTTGCTCTTGATAGCGAAGCCACTCTTTCCTCCATTGAGATTTCTCCCGTTTGAACACCTGGAGATATTTCTCCTTCTCCTCCTTGTCTTCTGTTTGAAGGACCCGCTTCAGGAGAACCTCTGACTGATAGATCTGGTGGATATTCTGGACTAAGAGGGGGAGCGAAGATGTATAATCGGTCATTATCTGACCTTGGCGTGGAAGTCGGTCTAGCTCCTTCATTCTTAAAAACTGGTCTCTTCGCTGCTCCATCTTTCCTGACCAAATCGTAAGCGAATTCAGACCAGTGCCTATACCAATTCCTTGATGTATAAGGAACAATCTTAGCAAACTGGCTTCTGAGTGACACCATTGAGGTGTTGTCTGAACCCCCGGACAAGAGATATTTCTCTCTAAGTTCATCCAACTTGACAGTGACCAAAGCCGCTTCAGCATATAGGCCGCCATCACTTGACATATCCTTTTTCGAATTCTTTTATCCAACGGTAAACAAGAACGAAAAACTTTCTAAAGTGTCTCTACCCGTTCTTCGAAAAATTTAAACTTGTAATGAATACCTTATCGAGAAAGACTAGAATTAATGAGAATGGAAATCTAGACGGAATAAGGTAAACGAGATAAAGGAAAAAGGATGTGAATTATCGAGAGAATCGTGATGATGTCATTTTACCAAGTGGTAAAATAGATATCAAAAACCCGATCCAATAACACAAACTTTTACTCGATGTACCTATATTCCCGATATTCCAATCTGTAAATAACGAGTTACCTACTACTATTCTTTGATACAAAAAACACCACCTGTCAAAAATGAAATCTTCCGCCAGAGTCTTATGGTGTGGATCATGTCTCAAGCACTTCCTTGGAATTGAATTGAGGATAATTCTCTCTGAGTTGCTTGTTGCTAAATTCAATGTGATATCAAGAACTTCTGCCATACATGGGTGTTCATAGAAGCGGCTGGGATGTATGTATCCTTCCCAGAAACTGTCTTGAAGGGAATTACTGTGAGTTTATATGTTTTTATTGAATGGCCCTTTTAGATTTTAATCACTGACAACCACTTTGTTTCTCTGGTAGGGGAATGCAGGTAGTTTCACCCTCATCCAAAATGGATGCACCACCACAAACAATATCAATGCATTCAATATAGGTGCTGTGGTCACATTTATTGATATTATCTAACATCTAATTCTGGAGCGAGTTGGCCAGCATCATAATGGGAAATGGCTTGAATCATGAGTACTTTTCATGAAGGAGAATAAGCTTCAATATAAGATTTTTTGTTCATCATGATCACACTAAAACAATCAGCTTATTTTGATCTATCTTGAAATTTGTCTATCTTTTTCTTTTGTTTCTTTCTTTTGTTTGGTCTTATTTTCTCTTTCCTTTTCCAAATTTTCACATGCTTGCCCAGGTGACAGACTCTGGGTCAAACAACATCAAAATGGCTGAAGAGATGCACACTCAGCTTTTGGAAAATGAAGATAACATTTCAAGGACATGGCTCAGTCCTAAGTGTGGAACCCCCAAACCAATTAGGCTTGGTCTCTATTTCATAAGTTGTCATCAAATGTCAGGGTGGTTTGATAGAGCTTGGTCTTAAACCACCTTCACAGGATTAACAGTGTGAAAGTATATTAGGGGCATTTACTATCTCTGAGCAAATGTCCATATTTGCCATAGAAACAAAGAAGAAAAGCTGCACCACAGTATCAGAAGTCATAATCCTTGATGTTGGTGCCACTGCTGAAGCTGACAAGGGACCTTTGCTACCCAAACAAAAGGATACTGATCATGACTTGGAAGGAGACAAGGTTGAAGTTGCCACTCCAGAATATGACAAAGACACCAAGGGTAAGCTTGACTAAGTGATCCGACATTCTGTGAATATTGCACCAGAAACAACTTTCACCACTGATGCATTCCATACCAGTAAATCAAGAAATCAAACAAACTGTTTCAATGTTTTAATTGGTCAGGTAAAGTTATTGACATCTTCATCAAGTGGCTATTGAGCTTTCTGTAAGCTGATTGTTTTTATTCTTAATTTTGGTCTCACTGATTACCAATACTTCTGAATAGCCTTTCCTCAAGCTTACCAAGCATCTGGAGGGTGATGAATCAACTGGCTTCATTGTTATACCTGAGTTCCATGGGCTCAAGGCTCACCTTGCCAGTTGGGCAAAAGGACTTCAAATTGAAGAAGATCTTCTACCAATGATTGTTTCAATGTAACTTTTGCAATCCTGCATCAACAAATACCTCAAAGAAGCTATGAATTGTGATACAAGGTTAATGGCCAGCCTTGTCAATCTATCCTTTTGACTTGAATTTTACAACCAAGAATTTGGACCACAGCATTGCTATACAATAAATGCCAAAAACCTCTTCCAAATGAGATGTGACCAGTGTAAGACTGATATAGGCTCAACGGTTCAAACTAAAGAAGCAGAAGTACCCTCTTCATCAAACTCAAGCAAGTCCAAATCAAATAGTGAATTTCAGTTCTTCAAGTCTAAAGAGAAACAAGTTTAGCCGGACAAAGTTGCTGCCTAATTGAAGGGGACACACCCCATGGCTGCTACATGCAGAAAATGCAAGAGATTGCAAGACCGCTCTGCCATGGTAAAGGCAAGGGTGCAACTATACTATACTGGTATAGGTATAGTTGGGTATAGTATTGTTTACACCATACTATACTATACTGGGTATAGTATAGTTGAACTATACTTTACCCAACTATACTCAGTATAGTATTCTTTCACCAACTATACCTGGAAAAGTGTTATATATGTTTTCCATCAACTTATCCAACTATACTGCACAGTATAGTTTGGTATATCTGAGTATAGTTCATCTATACTATACCAAGTATAGTTCAAGTACAGTATAGTTTGACAATACTATACCAAGTATAGTCAAGTATAGTATAGTATAGTATAGTATAGTTGCAGCCTTGGTAAAGGGTAAGTCTTCATTTCTTTCTCATAACTTTTTTCATTCATTAACATCCTGACAATACCTGTTTTTGCAATTTTGGGCGCTATAGCACAAGACTATTTGAGTCTCTTAGCTAGTTTGGCTATAGTCAAAGGGACTTTCTTGGCAGTGGCAGACATATGTTTGTCTGATCAAGCTTGGTTCCATATAAAATTGAGTACAATGTAGCTTTGGAGTTTTGGATTTGTCCAGGCGTGCCTCTAGCACATACACTATGAACATCATTCAACTTCCCCACATTGGAGGAGGAAAATGATTAATAGTACAGTTTGTCATAAAAAGATTCAATACCGCTCACCTGAGCCTCAACACCCACACTACATATGTGCAGTACGCTAAGTAAATAGTTTTCTATCATGTACATACAGGTCTGCTCAGTTTTTTGCCCATAAGAATATATAAATCACATGTTATACCACATGTAAATTTTTTGACTTGGAAAAAATTGTCCCAAGAATTCACCACATATAATTATGTAGCTGCTCAGGCAATAATTTTGAAGCTATTTCTTAGTAACAGACAGGGTATTACATGCAGTTGAGTTGATGAGATTACACCAAAATGTTGAGTAAGTGTATGTAGTCTATCTTTTGAATGCTTTTGTCAATCTGAAAAAAGTTACAGCATGTATTACATATGAATAACTCATCCTGCTGAGCAGATAACTGAGCAGAACTGTATGTACATGATGACCACCAATTCACTGAGCCTGCTACACATATGTAGTGTGGGTGTTATGGATCAGGTGTGGAGTGATAGATCATTTTATGACAAATGATACTCCCAATCATTTTTTCCTGCCCACTTGGGGAAGTTGATTAATGTTTGCAGTGATAAGTACACCGAGGTAAATCAAGCCATTCAGGCATTTGGGGGGGGAAAACTCAAGGAAGGCAAGTAAACTAATTGAAATTGTGTATGCAAGTTTGCAGTAGTTATTATATCATAATATCAACAAGTTGCCAAAAAACACCATTCAAAGGCTTTTATTTGTCTAAGTATGATTGCGCCTTGCGCCTTGCACACAACGGAGGCTTCAGTTGACAATTGTGTTACCGGCAAGTGGGACCAAACAGAACCCGTTGCCAGCAGCGCAATAGAGCACAATGCAATGTTCCAACATTGATTTAAGAAACAAGATTGCCTTTTCATCCTATATCTTGTGTTATCAAATTGCTAACAAATGTCTTCATTCACAAGGTAATGACATATTCAGGTTTGTTGTCTCCCATTGTCTTATTTAGTCAAGTAATATTTCTTTTCATCTAAAATAGAGATAGTTAAACACTTAGGAATGCTCATAAAACCTTCCAATGGATTTCTCATATGAATGTGGATATATTCATAGCGTCTTACTATTGTTTCAGATCCTATTTAGTGTTATGGCTCATGGAATGACTTGGTTCTGACCTTGTAATGGTCGTGCTAGAATTTCATTGTCTAAGACTGCTACTGCAAAGAGAATTTGACTCTAGATCGTAAATCACAATGGCGTTGATAATCAATGAAATCTAGACAAGCATAGCTGAAAGCTTCATGGGGAGTGACAAAAGTCAATGTGAAAACTTTGAAGATATATACGGTTCGGAGGTTCAAGAAGACTCACAAAGATAACTTGTCATCTATGAACATTTCTCGTTGTGTTTGCTTGCAACAATCATCAAGGAGATGAGATCCCACTATATAACATAGTTGAGAGTCGAGTAAATCTCAATCCCATACAATCAGCTCGACTCATGAAATCTTAAGAACAGCTTACAGATGGGAGTCCTAAGTTTGGTTCAGCATCAATGGTGTATTTTCCATCGTTCTTGTCTATCATCGGAAGGTAAAACATATACCAAGTGTCAAATTGATGAAATAAGTCTGTATCAGTGTGGCCTTTGATAAGCCAATAGTAACATGAGATTTAGTGTGACCCACCTGAGACTAAGGCCACAATTGAGTACGGGGATTCGGTGAGTCTAACTTCTCCAACAAGTGAATTCTTGGGAGCTGATGCTGTACGCTTGTAACCATAATGAATGGGGCCCCCTTTACCGTTGTTGATGATGTTCCAATGATCTTTCTGGAAAACGAATTCCATCTTGTCCGTTCCTGAGTAGCTGGCTGGATCACAGCTAGCGGCGTTCTAAACGTACGATTTTGGATCACATCAATCATCTTCCGCACTGGAATTCCGATCAAAGTTTAGACTTACTGTGTTGATGGTTGTCAAAATTTCATCATCATCATCGTCCGCGCCTCTGATATCGATTTCACCTGGCATTTGCGATGGTGCAGTCGTGAGATAAGGTGCAGTGGCATTATTGATCGTACCAGACTCCCAACGAATGTTTTTCGGGAAGGTGTATTTGTCCGTAAGAGTGTTGATGTTGAGAGGTGGATCTGGAGTCCTTCGGACGAGCCTTGCCTGCTGACGTCCATCAACTCCTAAAAAGGAGTTACAAGCGACTTGGAGAGCGAAAATAGAAAAGAAGGATTGGAACATGTTGTCTATCTTAGTGAACGGTATTTGTTTCAAAGAGTATTATTATTTAAAATGCGAGAGTCCTTTTGATTCGGAGAAAGGTGATTGAGGGCAAGGTAAGCGGCCTTGAGATCAAGCTATTTATCATGAACTGCATAGTTGAATGATATTTTTCCCTTTCCGACAGGCAATGGGGCTTAAGCCTTCCTCTGAGTGTACATATACGCGGAGGAGTGGCTTGCGCAATACGCCCACGTTGGCGGTGGTGACAGCAAAGGTTGCAACGGTTTTTCCAATACATGATGAGGGATATCAGAGCTTATCAGAGGCTGTTGCATGAAAGTTTGAGTTCTAGTTTGTAGCATGTGCTCCCAAGGGACTCTCGACGCCACCAGTACTCGATAGTGCTCGACGCATCGAGATCCTGAAGAGGACAGAACTAGATGGAGAAAGTAATAGTTGAGTTGGGTTTACGTGTCGGTCTGTGTCGTCATTTTAACAGACTCATCTAACAGTCATATGCAGATGATTTTGGACGGCGTTGAGCTTGCTCACAAAAGTCACAAATCATTTTGTACATACAGGATGCCTGAGCACGACGCGTGTTTCTGCATGTCGCATTTCATCATTCATTCTTGGAGACCAAGCATCTATTGCTGGTGAACTTCAGACGGAACACCCTTTGTTGTGAGTCTCTTTCATGTTCTGGTATTGACGTGGTAAAAGAACCTCAACATCCTGGACACCATCCATCATTTGTACTTGGATGTTATGCCTAGTCATCTGAGAGAAATTGCCAATGAATGAACAAAGGTTCCAACATCTATAACATCTTATACAAATGGTCAAGGCAAGAGCCTGTTCACCTTCAATGAGAAACTCACCCCTTGACAAGTATGCTCAAGAAACATTGCACTTGATAAACAAAGACTCGTTCAGAGATATTTTGACCTGATCTGACACACTACCATGTATATGGAAGTTTCACAGTCACCATCACTTTATGTCTCACTGTTGACAAAGGTAGGCGGGCTTGATTAAAGGCCAAGATGGGATGATAAAAAGTCCAAAACAATAGTCCTGTCCTAGTTTACCCCAGCACAAAATATTCTGATTGGAGGGGATATTTCAATTCTAGGGAGGATTTTTCCAATTGTAAAGTGTGGTAACGAAATATGACCCTTTGAAGCTTCAGCATTTTGGTCTGCGTGTAAACTACTTGGAAGAGCCTAGACACCTTCAAATCAATGGTGATCTTTGCCCAGGCTCCTTATCACGGCATAGGCTCCTGTTTGATGTATCAAAAACTCGTCCCTTTCTAATTCTACACACCATATGAGTGTTTGTAAAATCAACAAACCTTAAGGATATCAATGATTTGATGAGGAGTATCCAATAACGTCACATTATGTAGAAATGATATAAAGTGATAAGCTAAGATATCTTTCAAAAATAAAATAATAGAGTTCATGAGAAATGCGTATTATTAATAAGACTTACATGTAATGTGGCTAAGAGATATATATATAAGTTGATTCAATGGAAAGATGTGATGGAGATGAAAGATTACAAAAACCCCAATGCTAAAGTTTGAGTAATTTTAGAACAGTCGGTTTTAGACTGTACCAATAGGACTCATTGATGATCGACGAGTGATCAACAATCTCTGAAGCTGATCAGCTGATAAACCTGAATTCAGGAGATCCACACCAGAGCGTAAATCACGATTATCAAGCAAAGGAATGTTGGAAGGAGAAAATATGAACTCGGAAGGATCAGGTGGTGGCCAAGCTCTGTGAAGGAAACAAAGGTCAACAAGATGATCAAAAGATGGAATAGAAGTTAGAGGGAAGATTTGAAGACTTACGTAATTTTTGCAAGCTCAGGAGCAATGAGATGGTGACAGAAATAATCCATATCCAAATCATTCAAATCTGAATCAAAAAAATCACCACAAGATCAAACCCCCAGGTAAGAAAAAGAAGAGAGTTGATAAATTTGTGAAAAGACAACAGTGACTCACAATATCCAAATGGATTCTCAATTTCTTGACCTACCCTCATAAAACCTAAAAATGCAATTGCAACAAGAGCAGTAGCTGGAATTGTACAAAGACCAAATGTATTCACAAGTTGAAAAGGTAAGAAGATGAGGTAACCCCATATAACTAATTTCAAATGTACGATGTATCCATATGGGATTGGGGTTGTTAAGATCTTATCCAAATTTGTCAAGCAATCTGACATTGTTAATATTGATGCAAGAAGCGAGTTTACTGTGGGTACGCTGATTGCAGCTCGCAGAGAGTCAAAGCTTTAGGTCAATGCTGAATCATTGTTTTGAGCTGAGATGAAACTTACTCGATCACTTTACATAGTTGCAGTTTTGCTACATAGCTATCAATATACCAGATGATCTCAAGTGGAATGTTATCATCGTGTATCATTTTAGAATATGCTTCCTTTCGACGACGTAAGCCTGTGACATTCCTAGTTCCCTAGTTATTTTTTGAAAACATCTCAGCACACACTCATTCATCTTGATATCAATCATGCAAAAAAACACTTCTACCTTCCAAAGAGCTCGAAATATTGAACAGATTGGGAAGATTTCCACAAAACTACTCTTGGGTGGATTGTAAGCAGGCAAAAGTTCACGATCTGGCTTGAAAGGATTCAGGGATCCATTCACGTGTGGTCTCAAAGTCTGTTGTCTAGAGGTAGGTAGGCTTTTGTCGTTGACTCTTTCGCTATTCTGATGGGTTTCAGGCTCAAAGAGGGTGGAAGCAGTCTGAGGTGTATCAATCGTTCCATCGCAATTGGCATTATTCGTCTCCATAGGCTGATCAGCTGAAGCGCAGGTTTTGGTGGAGGTGAAATCAAGGTTATGTCGATCGATGAGACGTCCAGCAGGAGAAGCATACTTGGGTAGAAAACACGCCAGATCTGGTATCACATATAATTCTTTAACACTGCAGGGGAAAAAAGATGAGCCTTTCTCGTCAAGAAATCTTACGCACGATACAAGTCCTCATAGTAGATTCCATGTTCTATTGAATAAGTCGATCAATGTCAATCACACCATGTGGATTAAGATAGAAGAACAACCAAACTTACCCCCGCGTAGGTGATGCTTCAAGCTAACAGCAAAGCCTTCAACCAAGTTGATGATTGTTTTCTTTTCTATAATCGACCGTAGGCGCTTGTATTTGTTCATTCATTTAGAATAAACATCAACATTGTGACATCTCTATCTGTCAAGCAGGGAGTTCATGCCCACCTCCTCTTCAGTGGGAGGCTCCTTCGGATCGAACGGCCTAGGCGCATCAGGACAATGCAACCAGATGAGACGAGCGAACGTGCGTCCAGCTAGAATGATCGAAGACCATTGTTTACGCCCATCATTGTATCGCTCATAAGCACCTATTATTGTATGATGGAAGGGTAAATAAACTGCACTGCTAGTGATCAAAATGCAAGGTTTTTGGACTCACTTGAGGTTCGGTAGGAAACTACGAAACCGATCACCGTCCCTACGATTCAAAGGTATCTTGTCAATATCTTGTCATCGAACTCTACCTGAACAAAATTGCATTTTTGAATATCAGTCAAAAGTAGAGGTGGTTTACCTAGTACAGTCAACAGTGTAGCGGGCTTTGATAGATCAAATTGGATCAAACATGTAATGGACGCAGTTATCAGTAAGAATAAAATAGTTTGACAAATTTAAAAGAGAACTGACGAGGTGCAGGGACGTAACTTCACGATCAATCAGAATGACAAACGTCGCCCATGCTGTGAAAAAAGCAATCTGATTACGTTCACAAACAATACAAAACGGTGCATACACCCAAGAATCAAAGCGCAATAGATCAGCAGAATGGATTTGGAGTCAGTCAGATAATTTCAAAACCATTCTTACGCTTGGCCAAATCGCCCAAAGAGTGATAGCTTTGAAGAAAAGTATTACAGAAGGGCTGTGGAGAGGCCAAAAATCAAAAGGTTGAAGACGGTTTTAGGCATGACGCTCTGAGCAGTAGTTTCTTAACACTCACGCTCGAAATGGGTTCAATAATATTTGCTCTCGTTCGGTTTCTCTTTTTTCATGGAAAGGGGAATAGGATGAATCAGATTTTTGTTGATGAACGAATGAAGCCATTGTAGTATGCTTAAACTCAAACCCAAGGAAACGTTGGGGTATGAACAGGTCAAGAAGATTAGTCAACACCGATCAAACTCTTCAAAGTCATTCATAAAGAGGTTCAAGTTGGTTTACGTGAGGTCCAAATACTTAGCTAACAAACACGGTCAACAGCAGAAAGATTATGTGACCGATCAATTTGAATGGACACATGGGCATAAACTTGTGCTCAAACATGCACAATCTGAGAGTCACCCGGGATTTGCACGCCGGTAGATTTGCTATTAAAGGGTGCTATTAACACCGCGGGAATCATTAAGTGTGAACCGCTATTGAGCAAAGTCGCGGTGACCACGATCTAAACAATCACCATCTGGTGTAGTTGATGGAGACGCTGCCAAGTGACGATTGAGGCTCAGGATGGGGGGGCGGCCTTAAAAAAAGGCGCGCCCTGGCGCGTTATTGTGGAAAACGGGCGCGTCTAGGCGCCAGGGGCGCGTTAGGCGCGGCCTTTTAAGTTTTACCGGACAAACATCAAAAAACATGAAAAAAATGTGAAACAAATTCAGGAAATGCATTTTGACCAACCTTAAATACATATTTGTTGCGGATAAGGTAGAAGATAGATTGTTTGAAGGCCAATTGTTGATTGAAGTTGATTCATAAAACAACTTGAAATGTATTTCTATAAGAAAAAAACACGAGGAAAGCCCCACTTTCTCACTATGAGGCATACAGGCTTTTGGGTGTGCCCACCTTCTTTTCAAGATCTTTAGGCGCACCTAACACCTAGGCGTGTTATTTTTTTGCGCCCGCATCCTGAATTGAGGCATGATATGGTTGAAGGACTATGTATATGTAGTATGTGATTACATAATAGTATTGTACATAGCAGGCCAGTCTAGGGCTGTGACCCAACCCTGTGAGCTCATGGCTGGCACCGGGGCCAAGTTCAGCCCTGAGTGAGCCCAATGACCTCCAAAAACAGCTCGGGGCAAACCAGGGGCGGTAGGAGACTAGCATGAAGGCATTTTTTTTTGGCAAAAGAAGGGTCAGCGCCCCGGCGGGCTCAGGCTCTCAGGTCGCCTGAAGTACCCACAGGGCCATATTCAACTATCATCAAGCCAAATCTGGATTCCCCAGGGCGGGTACTGTCAGATCTGTGAAAGTCACCAGGCAGAGTCGGCTGAGCGGTGCCGGGTCCGGGTCACAGCCCTAGGCCAGTCCAAGGGGAAAAATTCCAAATTCCAAATTCCACAATCAAAAATCAAATATTAAAAATCAAGAAATGGTTGGAAGACACCTCATGTCTTGTCTACCGTATTAGCCCCAGCTTTGGCATAGGTTTTCTAGCTTGTCTGGAGTTGCCTTTGAGTCTTCCATGACATATGTAACTGTAGTACCACATATGAAGTGAAGCTCATGGTGAAAGAAAACCCACAAACAGTTGTAAGAGACATCCTTCTTTGTCCTACCATGTTCTATTGTTCTTGCTTTGGCAAACGTTCTGTGCACCTTATTGCCTTTTCTTTGTGTTTACTTTTTTCCTCTGTGGCCTGATGTAGTGCCACTGCCTACAACTCAGCATCCTATATGTTGCTAACAATTCCCGGTACTTTTCTTACTGTGGTCCTCAGTTTAGGATATGAAAAGACAACATTGGAACACAGCCAAAATTTGATTTACACCCCATCATACATAAATCACCAATAACCTTCACATGTTCAATTTCAATTTAATCGTTTGCTACTGCAATTTCTTTGGATCCAATTGCTCCCCAGCCACTGTCTTTTATCAATCCAGCCAACTTTGCCTGCTAACTTTGTCTAGAAATCTACTAAACTCACCATGTTCCTTCAATATTATTGATTCACCTCACTATCAAATGTCAACATCAAACTCTTATTCCTTTAAATTCAAGGCTTGCAATTTGAATGTAGCAAGTACAGCCGTTCCAACAATTAACGGCAGAATTCTTTGATCGTGTGTTGCTCTTGAGGTTAAATCTAGAGAGGTCAAAACTGGATTAAACCCAGTTTTGCACGCAAATGAACAAGGAGGCATGGGAGACCTGTCACTTTGAGCCGGCTTTAACCAGTTTTTGACTTTTGGATTAAATTCGTATGCAACACACCAATGAAGAATTCTACCGTTAATTGTTGGAACGGCTGTAGGTTTCCAAGCCAAACATTGTAACTGACTCATAACAATGAAAAAGCAACCTGAAGTGGAGAAAAGTCTCAACTAAGAAAACAGTTAATTAGTGTTTGTCAACCTACAGAAAAATTAAAAGCAATGTCAATATCCTCTTTCAAAGCAAACCCCTATTTATCTATAAATTTACAATCTTTGACCCTTGATTTATACAGTTTGAAACTTTCAATAGTAACTCTGCTCAAGAACAAACCAATTCAAATCAAATTCAACCCCTGGATGCAATGCAACAAAAAAGTTACAAGCTCAAGGATGGTTTTATACAATGGGTAATGCAAGCACTGTGTGAATATTCCACAGACAATTTTGTTTTGGCAATTTTTTTAGAGAACTTCATTGAAGGTGAGTATGAATCATTATACTACTTTGGATCAAGCTGACATGGCTGTCTGTAGAAACAAAAGGATGCAATTATCCTAGTTATATCAAAGCGGCACAATCAAAAACAACCAAATCAAAACCAAGTACAACTTTTACATGAAAATTCAATCACCTGACAATATCAAGGTGATACTTGGTCCAAACTAATTGTAGCTTGAGTGTTGATACTTTGTGTAGAGGCGCCTTGCAATGATTGAATGGGAGTCAACAAGTAAGTGAAACATGAGCGTTATTCTTATGTGTAACCACCAGATAATTTGTGGGCACTGCTACTGATTGCTTTTACTACTCTAATCACACTGTATTCAATGACTACAAAACAGCAAGTGCTTGTTAAAATTTGTACAATTGATAAAACACATTTCCCTCTCTGTCACAATAAAATATTGGACAAGCTTCTTGATCACCTCCAAGGATTCCTGACACTAAACCGTTCAATTTCTGTGAGGTGATGTTGTGACAATCAGCCTGGGTGGATTTATTTTCATGATCTGTGGAATTTTGAGGTTTGGTTGCTCATTCCACTGCGTGATTAGAATAGTTGAAGTAAGTTGGAAATTGAGGTGGTGCCACTGCGGGCATACCTGCATAGTCTCTTTTTTAATCATAAAGTAATGAGATATAGCAGGTGGAAAAAGTATCCAGCCAAAATTTACGGCTCCTATGTCAATTTTTTTGGATATGATATAAGTCCTTCTCTTGCCGGCTTGCTTGCCCACAGGGGCATAGTTGGGTTAGCAGTTCCAAGAAGGGATGACAAATTCAGCAGGAACTTTCTGCAACAATCATCTGAAAAAGCTCATTATACACCACATACCCACCAATGTGGACACCACGGTTAGGCCAAGGGATTGAGGGGCACTAAACATTCACATTTATATTTGAAGTGCTATGCACCATGTAAATATCCTTGTAACACGTTGACGTGCACACACAGGTCTTTCCTTAGACCCGGTAAATACCCATCAAAGAGGTACCACAACAGGCACATCTTCCCCTTATCAACTGTGGTGTTGACATTCAGTTGACCCCAGATGAAGACAAAGAATTCCGCAGATCCTATAAATAAATCAATATTCACAAAGGGTGCTCAACGACACTCTCAGTCTAAATCCAACCAAAATACTTTCAGATTTATTTCAAAACTCTCTGTGCGTGCATGTCAACCTGCTACAGGGCCATTTACATGGTGGTGAGTTCTTTTGCTTCCTCCCATCCCTGAATTTTTACTCAATTCTCAGCTTTATTTTCATGTTTGTTCAACGAACCCATTCTATCAATCTCCTTTCCTCTCAATCAATCCATTGAATCAATCAAAATAATTGAGTTATATGTTTGTCTTCCTTCTTATTTTCTAAAACTTTTCAGATCT